AAATGAAATAAAATACCTAGTGTGTGTGTTCCATAAGAAAAAATATAACTTAGGTATGGATTTTAGTTCTGACACACCTTGTACTTTTCAAAATAATTTTAAATTATTTTGAAATGTACAAGTAATGTATACTGTGTTACACAGACGCCACGACACACGGAAGTCAAACAAACAATTTTTCAGAAGTGTCAGACTAATATTTTTATAAAATAGGCGTTTTCTTAATATTTCACGCTGGTCCGAAAAAGACGATCAAATATTAAATAGGATAATTCTGTGGTCATTCCTAAAAATCAAAGATTTTAATAATGGCGTTTATAACATGTTAGTGTAATCTGCATTGTCCTTAAAACATTTGCATGATGCTGGAAAGAATATGGCAGAACGTACTACGTTTTAGTCACGGTTGGCAAAACGCACCAGCGTTTAGTCTCAACCAATGAGAGCAGGGAAAATCACATTGTGGACTATATAATGGTACATTTTGCTTAAATGCTGGCCGGACAGCTGTGACGTAAAAACGTCTCGTGACGTCACCAACTGGAGGCCCAACTCTATTTAGCAGCGTTGATAATTACCCGATAAAAGGTCAAATTGTGGATCTTTTTTCACTCGCCAGATATATTTCGAAGTTTTAAAATGTCTTTTCCGAGTTTTTAAAAATGTTATAGTATATAAAAATAGTTTTAATAGAATACGGAAAAAATCATACCCGTCAATAAATGTTTATCTCTCACTTTTTATCAATCAAATTTAATAAAGGAATATTTTAAGTTCACAATAGTGTATATATAGTGTAATATGAGAAAAAAATAGATATTTTTTATAGTATATATTATGTATTTTATCGATATTTCACACCCCCTGCTCCGGGGCGACGACGCCGCGCACAGTGCTTCGTCTCATGGACAAAAATCGAAAAAAAAGTTAAAATTTACTAATATCTGAATATGTAATTTTATATTTATAGCAATGTTCAACCATCCTGTATATTATTTTTCATAAACAGCGTTTTTTGTTAGCAAATATTTTCACTAAAAATAAATTTTTCGATCATTATCTTATCAGTGAAAAGAATAACATTCATAGTAGTTCTGTATATTATGGAGTTAAACGGTACGTACTTAATTGAAAGCCACTATGGATATTGTTAAACAAGGTATGTACTTTAAATTTATTTCTAAACAAGTTCGTGATTGTTTAGTTTTTATTTATTTTTAAGATGATTCTTAAATGGGTACAAAATTTTACGTTTTCAAACTTCAAAAGGCTTTAAAAAAACATATCAAAACATATCGTATTTATTGAATATTTTTGTTGCGTTATTCATACACTTTTAATTTTTGTATAGTTCACCTGCGTCTGCTTGCGACGAACTTTATTTTATAATACTTTTCAGATGGAGTAAAATTGATAAGCAATGCCGATTTGGTTAATACTTGGCTTGATCATAAGGACAAGACCTCAAAATTATTTGTATTTCAAAAAATGTGTTCTTTATTAGATATTGATGAACCTTCCAGTCAAATGAGACACCACTTGTGCCTGAAAAAGCCCACTATGTTGGAGCGAAACGTCGCATAAAAAAGTTTCCATCTTTCAATTTATTATAAAACCTCATACCCAAGAAAAGGAAAAAATAATATATGGATATGGTCTACTAAAGAGGTAACTATTAACATCCGAACCCCTCATACCAAAAAAAAAGAACAGTAACAACGCGAAAAAGTAAACATATTAGAAAATAATGTACAGAAATATCTTATATGTGAGGATACTTCATCTACCTGTGATTTGGATACTATAAATTTGGTAGATTCTGTTAGCAGTGATTCTTCTGAATCAGAGTAGTTACGATCTATGCATTTTGTTGTCCAAAAGTAAATTTATAGTATCTTAAGTTTTTTTTTAATTAAATATAACATTAATGTTTCTTTTTCATTACTGAAAAACATTTTTATCTTATATTGTAGGAATCATGTTCTAAAGTTATTTCAATTCTTTTTTATCACAGGGATTTATTTAATACTTACACCGTTTTCATACAATAAATTATTATTTCCTTCGATGGAACACAGCTCCAAAATTTTTATTATTTATAAGAATTTTTTTCATAAACGTGGGACTAAGAACATCATCATTTAGTACAATGAGAGTACTCATCATTTGTGTCAAATAAACCTAGTTTGAATAAATTACCTACAATAAAAGAGAAGTTTTGCATTTTTGTCCTCTAGAGTCATATGTCCGAAGCACTGTGCGCCGCCCCGCGTCGCACAGTGGAACGAGCTTTTGGGAGCTGTTGGACATGAGGTTTTCTTCTCAACACTTTTAATCCAAAAGACGAAAAAATGATTTTTATATACCGTAATAATGTATAAACAGAACAATTTTAAACTTTAATGAAAGAAAGTGGTTGGCTCGTTACAAACCATCTACAGGGTGACCAAAAATATAGTATGTTTTGGAAAACTCTTACAAGTTACTCTACGTTTAAATGCTTATAAACTTTGCCAAACTGTCGTGGAATGTTTTAGTTTTGATCCTTTTAAAAAGAAATAGCTTTAGATTTTATCACTGAAATCTAAGACTACTGATACCGTGTTATAAAAATATGGTAATTAGGGGCTTACATATATTTTCCTATTTAATATAACTTTGCTAATATCTTCGATTTGAAAGAAGATATCAAGATGCGGTTTTTACTGACTTTTTAAGCTTTCATTACTCTTTACTATCAGCTAAAATGACATATACCATCGCATTTATTTTATTTTTTGAAAAAACGCGCAATGTTTGTTAATTTGTAAGACAGCGCCCCCTAGCATCTACGTTCAAAAGCTTACTATTATTGTTTATGTGGTATAATATAGAGTAAGAAACGGTCTTTTAAACGAGCCCCCGTTAGTTGGATTCCGTCCATCCAGTCCGGAATTATTAATACTTAAATAAAGACAGATCTAACCTTCCCCCATTACTTTATTTTGGCAGATAGGGGAAAATGGTTCTAACAAAAAATATTCAGAATTTACTGAAGATTATGAAGCTATTATTTATAGTACCCCTTATCTAGGCAAAGTTGTGTAAAAACTCCATTTTCTTATTTTTTATAGCAGTTGCGCCCTCTAGCGGCCATTCTACAAATTTGAAAATAATTTCCAGCGTTTTCTCATGGTCTCTTTAGTTATGAATATTTTTTCCGCAAGCCTCACGGCTAAAACTTTCCGAGATATAGCCGAGAGCTATTCTTAGTGGGACACCCTGTACAATAACTTTATTATAAGCAAAGAATATATCAGTAAATCAACGCACTAGAATATTTTTATTACAAACAAGAAACCTCAACACTGCACTTTAACCCTCTTTCTTTTTCCAATAGTTTATAAGTTTTCCATATATTTGTAGCACCCTGTATCTGTTTTTGATTTTAGCGTCATTTTGTATTTATTCAATTAATAATTAAATATTAATAAATTTATAAAAAATAAAGATAATTTGACTCTAAAAATTTTAAATTAATTTATTGGAATTGAAAAGGTTTTTGATTTTAGTATAGCATGTATTAGTAATATATTAAATGGAAATTTTTAGAGGGGGGCAAGCTGGGGCAAGATGTTAAATTAGTTTCGTTATTAGAAAGGCTTAATCTACCTTGTGATATATATAAAGTCTTGGCCATTTTTTTATTTTTCTACATACACATTTTTTTGCTACTAAATATAGTATTTAGCAGCAAAAAAATGTTTATGTGTCTCTTATATACAATTGTTCTCCCAAACTTTTGTGACTATATATATCTTTTATTTTAAAGTGAAAACAATCGTTTGCACTAATATGTATGGTTAAAAAAAATATTAATGTCTTTGCCAGTTTTTATAAAACTAGGTTGTTTCACAAGAAATGAATACCATAATTAAGTCAGTGTAATATCTTCATTTGAACTTTTCAAACAGATATATAATGTAGAAATGAATACTCACAAGTCGAGTTTAAACAAATATAATTAACAATTAATCAACTTAATACATCAACAAAAATATTAAAACACTCAAAAACGTTTCTTATTTACAGTCCCCGTTTCTACCAAACTATCGATCGCCGGCACGTCAGCTGATCTCCGACCTCGCCGGTAGTCGCGGCGTTGCCACTGTTCCCAGTATCGGTCTATGATACTGCTACAGTGATACATAGCAAAATATTAAATTAGAGTCTATGAATGTGATACATAGCAAAATATTAGAGTCTATGAATGTGATACATAGCAAAATATTAAATTAGAGTCTATGAATGTGATACATAGCAAAATATTAAATTAGAGTCTATGAATAAGATACATAGCAAAATATTAAATTAGAATCTATGAATGGGACACAAGGTAAAATATTAAATTAGAGCTATGAATAATATACATAGAGGAAAATATTAAATTAGAGTCTATGAATGTGACACATAGCTAATATTAGACTCTACGAATTTGATACGTAGCACAAAAAATTAATTGGAATTATCCCTGGGAATTATCAAAATTTATTGATTTTCATAACAAAAATAAGTCATGCAAAAAAAAATAAACTATTGAGTGTTGTCGCCGAACTATCGCAACGTTATATAAACAAAGAAACCTCTCATAAAAATAACTGATTCAGCTTTAAAAGTAAATCGAAGGTCCCAGATTAAAAACTGAGAAACGAATATTACTTTTGTAAATTCAACATCTAATAGTAACAATCATTATTATTATTAAAAATATTGTTGTTTGTTATAATGCAAGTCTAGCAAAAAAAAAGGAAATTATCACATATTGGTTAAAAGAACTTAGTTTCAAAATAATGAGTCATCTTAATTTAAGTAAATAAAACAAAATTAATTAATTAATTAATTGGAATACATAAATATACCTAAAGATGGCTATATATTGTTTGTCTATTTATTTTTGAAAAATTAGAAATAAATGAGGAATTAAACAAAAAATTAATTATTGTAGGGTATATTCATCCATTATGGCAACCAACCTAAATGCTTTAGAGTCCTTTGACTGCGAAGGTGACATTGGATCGGTTGGCTTAAAATGGGAAAAGTGGAAAAGAGCTTTTGAAATCTACATTGAAGCAACAAATATTGACACTCCTCAGAAAAAAAGGGCTACATTATTGCACGTCGGTGGCTTAGGTATCCAAGAAATTTATTATAATTTACCTGGCGCACACATCGCTACATCGGAGGCTAATCAGGACACCGATGTGTACAAAATTGCTTTGGAAAGTTTGGATCGTTATTTTGCCCCGAAACAGAGCAAACTATTTGAAAGGCATGTTTTTCGTCTTTTAAAACAAGAACCGGAAGAACATTTCGAGAAATTTCTGGTACGATTAAGGAATCAAGCAGCAAAATGCACCTTTGTCAATTCAGAAGAGCACCTTATTGACCAAATAGTAGAAAAATGCCATTCACCTGAATTAAGGCAAAATATTTTAACTCTTGGGGATTCAGTGACACTGGATATGATTATAATAGAAGCCAATGCATTGGAACCAGTTAGCAGACAAATGGAAAAATTTGGTGATAAGAAACCATCTTATGAAGTAAACAAAGTTACAAGTAGGAATATTAGAAGCTCCCAAGCTCCCGAAACTAGCACATCAAGATCGTGTTATCGTTGTGGGATAGAAGGCCATTTATCTTATAATTGTCCAGATAAGGAATCATTTTGCAAGAAATGCCGCCGCAAGGGACATAGTACAAAGAATTGCCGAACAAGAAACGAAAAACGAAAGCACGAGTCGTCTGGTCCTCCAAAAGAATTTAAGAAGCATAAAACTAATAAGTCTGCTACAAAATATGAAGAAGGAAACGTCAACTACATTTTCCATATTGACCAAGATTAAATATTGACCTAACTTGCAATATAGGAGGAGTTCCCGTGGATGTAATAATAGATTCAGGTAGCAAGTGCAATATTTTAAACGATAAAACTTGGGAGTATCTTAAAAAATATAATGTTAACGTTAAAAATCAGGTCAAAAATCCCAACAAAATTTTTGTAGCGTATGCAAGCAATAAACCCTTAGATGTTGGGGGTAGCTTTGAAGCAGATGTATGTGTTAATAATATTATAATATCTGCTACTTTTTATATAGTTAAAAATGGCTCAAAAAATTTGTTGGGCAAAGACACTGCCAAGTTATTAAGAGTTTTAAAAATTGTGGTATAAAATCAATCGCTTATTAATGCCATATCTGCCTTTCCAAAGTTTAAAGACGTCTTAGTAAACATCCCCATTGATGACACCATAAAACCGGTTATACAACCATATCGTAGAATTCCAATCCCTCTGGAAGATAAAATTAATAAAGCAATTGTAGATTTGCTTGAGTCGTAAATTATTGAATCAGTTAATGATGCTTCAAAATGAGTGTCACCAATGGTACCAGTTTTAAAGCCAAATGGTCAAGTTCGAATTTGCATTGATATGCGAAGGGCAAATAAAGCAATAATAAGAGAAAACCATCCTTTACCAACGATGGAGCAGTTAATACCCCAATTTAGAAAAAATATTTTCTAGGCTAGATATTAAAGATGCTTTCCACCAAATTGAGATTAGCGAGAAATCTAGACATATTACTACATTTGATTCAAGCAAAGATTCAAGCCTTTTTTCTTAACGATTAAATTTTGGAATTTATTGTGTCCCAGAAATGTTTCAAAAAAATTTAAAACGGATTCTTTCAAAATGTTAATACACTGTACATTTTATTGATGATATTGTAATTTTTGGAAAGAGTGAAAAAGAACACAACATTAATTTACAAACTACCTTAAACGTGTTAAAAGTACATAACGTTCTCTTAAATAATAAAAAATATGTTTACAATATTTCAATAATTGAATTTCTGGGACACGAGTTATTGCCAAAAGGTATCAAGCCTTTGGACAAATACATATCTGTTATTAATGACTTCCGTTCTCCTAACACAATTCATGAATTGCAAATCTTTTTGGGATTAGTTAATTATTCGGCTAAATGAATCGCTAATCTCTAGCCACTCTCACGGAACCATTAAGACAAGTTCTTCGACTTAAATTGGGTAAAAATGCTGACATTAACAAATATTGGCGAAGACCTCAAGATAGAGCTTTTAAATCATTAAAAGAGAGCCTGTCTACTATTAGAACTCTAGGATATTACGACCCCTACGGTCGCACACAGGTAATAGCCGACGCGAGCCCGGTAAGGTTAGGCGCTGCGTTACTACAATATGATTCAGAAGGACCTAGGGACCAAGTATCGAAATACTTAATGATGTATAACACTACTCCCCACTCAACAACTGGAAAACCACCGGCAGAACTATTTTTCGGAAGGCAGTTCAGGGACAAAATTCCTACAATACAAAATTCAGAGAGAAGTATCTTTAATGAAGAGTTAAAAGATGGAGATATGTCAAAAAAGGCCGAAGGTAAAGAATATAGTGACAGGAAAAGAAAAGCTAAAGAAAATAATATCGAGGGTGGAGATAAAGTATACATAAAAAATACTGTAATAGAAAACACGTCAAATTTTAACCCAATACCCTATACGGTAATAGTAAAAAATGGCACTGATTTAAGTCTCCAAAATGATGAAACAGGGAAACAAATAAGGATAAATGTAGTTCATTTAAAAAAAAAGTAGAAGGAGAATGGAAGGTACTTGATAATTCAGAAAGTGGCGAAAATTGAATAAGCATTAAGCTAAATACCTATCAATATAAATTGTTGTTTATTAGAAATATATATTTAATTTGTTGAATTAGGTACTAAGTATGAACAGTTTAAGAAAATAAATATTTTGGTATAATAGTATAATAACTAATGTATTTTGTTAAATTACTACAATTAAGATTTAAATAAATAATTTTTATAAAATAAGGAAGAGATGTAGTGTATAGGCCGCTTTAGATTTGTAGTAATGTAAACATGATGACTAATAAATGATAAATCACACCGTTTGGCTGGGTAACAAAGAAATACGTTTCGAACCGGATTCGACGTTACGCAGAGAACCGGTGAACATCGGCTGAGTGTATATTGGTGTTTTATTTCGTGTTCCTTAATTATAATAAAGTAATTATAAAGGACTTATGTAGAATAAGATACACTACAGTAATAACACCATTATTAAAATTTCAGCAATGTACTATTTATAATGCTAAGTTATTGTGAAAATTGTCATAAATTCTATTAGAAATACACGTCTGAAAAACTGCTGTTGTTAAAAAATAATGATAGACTTGGAAAAGGAAATAAAAGACACTTAGACACACAGCATAAATAAATACAATGACGATGGATAATGTGAGATGGGATATCAATCTGATGTTTTTCAAATTTTATGTTTAATTATTATTTATTAAAAATTCAGTGCAATTAAAGTTTATATCCATTATATACGTATAAAGTGTATCAAATGCAATCAAAGTTTAGGCCTCCAGTTGATGACGTCACGAATACGCTGTTCGGCCTTGTTATTACGGCGGTTACGATTTCACCCGTGTTCTGGGTGAATATAAAAAAATCTTTGACAGTTGGTTTTTAGATTTGTCAAAGTTACTTATACCAAAAAATCAAAGTTTTTCCCAAACATTCGTATTTGAAGGCCTATTCTCTTGGACTAGTATCTTAGTAGCAAGAAAGCTTTCTGCTTCAGTAGCGATACACACAGCTTTTTCAAAGGCATTTAGTACTCTATTTATTTAAATTAAAGTTTAAATTATTTAGTACAGACCCATTAATGTTTTATTTACAAATTAAGCTAGTCATTGTGTTCAGTATTTTAACCAGAAAGCTAAATACTCCCAATTTATCGTACAAACAATAATTATAAAATTATTTTATGCAGCATGAGTATTTAATTTTCAATAAATAAACTCTTCGAAATACCAGGTTTACTTTTTATAATGCATTTAAATCACGGAAAATATTTAATCAGAAATAGTCGAGTAGATCATAAATATTCGTCATAAATATTCTTTTTATTTATGCCAAATATGAATATAAATTAATAATACAGAGCACCTGTTGAAATGCGCTGGTTTATCTGATATAACAAATTTAAAATATAAAAAAATAAATGTAAAGTATAGAAGGTCCAAATATTGCAGATATTAATAAATATTAGTAGTGGGAACTATCGAATGAATACTATCGAAACATTCGATAGTTGCAATTCATTCGAATAATTCGATAGCTAGTAAAAAAACATTCGTTGAAAACTATTCGAATAAAAATTATCGAATAGATGCGTCATCTGCCTTGAAATATTGTATTCTAGTAATTCGGCAGCAAAAATCATTCATTTATAAAATTCATTCATTTATGAAATTCATTTATTCGTCAGGATTAGTTGTCGCCCGGCGACGTAGGTTTCTTTCCGAGAGACCCGACAGCGGTCGGTGGCAATGCTATGAAAGAAGCCGGCATCTTTGATTTTTTGCGGAGTCGTATAAAGATAAGGACACATTATTTTTTTTATTGAGGTGCTAGTATTTACACAGAAAATACATTATGAAGGGCGCTGTTGCCATATATTGCTATTAGATAATATTAGCAAAGAATATTATTGGTTGGCTTTAGTTACTTAGGGATAGTATGTCTATATATTTTGCATTTTTTTTATTAATATTCTGTTGTTACACTGCAATAATACTTGTTATTTTGGATGTAGGAAAATGATTTTTAATGTTTTTAAGCAAAGACTGGTTTAATAAAATAATAATAACAGTAATAATTTGTTATACCTAGTAGCAAAATATAAACAACAAATTAGATGTCAAAATTATTTATATTAGATCCTATTTAAAAATAATATAGTCTTTAAATTTTTTGTGTGGCAACGTTGGTTTATTAAATAATAATAATTACAGAATTAATTTGTTATATTAACAACAAATTTTAAAATCATGAAATATAAACATTTATTAATTTTCTAAGCATGCAGTGTAATTACAGTTGAGGGTTGGAACCTTTGGTGTTACACAGCAAAATAAAAACACTAAATCACAACAATACACCAAAACACTTTTACTTTTACAGTTTATAATCATCTGCTGATGATGCTAACATGGTTAGCGAAACGCGCGTCCAGTGTAAAAGTAAAAGTGTTTTGGTGTATTGTGGTGATTTAGTGTTTTTATTATGCAGTGTAATGGAAGGAAAATATAAATAAAAAATTAGAAATCAAAATTATTTATATTAGGTACTTTATATTACTATTTAAAAATAATATTTACTTTTACTGGCATTTACTTTAAAAAATAAATGAAATATTTCTTCGCAAAAAACTACATGTAAGAGAATTAGCATAAATAAAATACAAACATCGTTAACTTTTTTTTTAAATTGGCACGTGTAAAACTTTCAATTTAATTTTCTCACCCCATAGTTTGAGTTCGATAACCCCCCATTTACTTAACCACATTACTTAAATATGATTATTAAGTTCAACTAATTTATATTATTAAAACATCTAAAATACAAATATGTATTTTTAAAATTAATTCTAAGTTCATCTCATCTCTCTTAAAAATTGCTACTTCTCAAAATTTCCCATTAAAAAATAGACCATATATCCCATATAAAATAAAATAATTGAAAGATCGGGCTACGGAAAATCACACAAATTTTCGGAAAAATTTTGACACCTGCACTGACACAAGCACCCAATCGTCAATTAAAAAAAACTACTATTTTAGTATTTTAAATATTTTAATAAACCCAAAATTGGCACAGTATTTATAAGGTGAAGTTATAAAAATTTGGAAGAACTAATAATGCACTGACGCACACAAAAATCAAACGAATACTAAATTTCATTTATCAAAAGCATTCGATAGACGTGGCTCAACGA